GAAGGCAACGCATTATCACGTCGGCAATGGTGAAATATTCACAACCAGAACGGTAACAATTTTTACGTAGGCAACGCAGAGCCAGTAAAAATTTGCGTAATGGGATGTGTATAATAAAAAGGTCAATGCGCGGAGCGCTAATGGTCACCAAGGTAACAACCCACTTGTTCAGCGCGTGACTTAGGGTTGAACTTGGGCCAAGGTTTATTAGATTAGTCAGTTTCGCCAAGAAGTGTGCTATTTTTTTTCGCTGATCACCCAGTTGTTGTAGTAGTATATATTGTAGCACCAAGTGTGTGACACTCCCTCTTCGACTATGGCTTCCTTTTCCTACTTAGTGCATGGTCTCGAGGTAACGTAAACTGCGGCCTCTCATCGAGTGTTTTACACTTAGAATTTATACTTCGCCCGATTATATTGGTATACGCGAAACATTAATCTTTTAAAATAAATCCTGAGACTATACATGATGTAAATTCAAAATAATGTGATAATATTTTACATTATGTGGGGTCTACATTATTCTGAGTTGCTTTGCGATGTTATATGTACCAAGACTCGTGAAAATAAAATAGTGTTCTTCTGCGAACTAATAGACAATTTTTCCAATCTTCTAGTACCACTCGATTTTTATTATTTGAATTTGGCGGCAAGTAACCTTTAGTTTCCCAGTCTATTGTGTCCATTCATAGTCCTAACAATAGGGTGTAAATTGCCATGCGAGCCTACCGCACACGACCGCGGTAAACCGGGGTCATGGAATCTATGCATAAATTTGCATAAAATGTGGTCGACCGGCGAGCACCCACCACCACCGCGGTAATGACCGTGGTAAACCATGAGTTTGATTTCCTACTCATCCCTAACTTCATGTCATACTGGTACCCTATTCATGATCTGATTCAAATTGTTTTAAAAAAATGCTTTTCTGAAGCTATATTTTGGACATATGATGTGTGTGTGTGTGTGTGCGTGTGCGTGCGTGTGCGTGCGTGTGTGCGTGCGTGCGTGCGTGCGTGTGTGTGTGTTCAGAAAAAAGACGTTCATCAAGGTCCCATTATCTTCTACATACTATGTATGAACCAAGTTACAATGAAATATGTCCATGCTTGACAGATGTGGTTAAGGAATGGCCCAAAATGCTTGATTTAGATAAATTTCTAAAATGGCTGCTAGTCGGCCATCTTGAATCGGATAATAAAATGTATATACATATGCATGTATCCCAAGATGTATGATGCATTTGTGAAGTTTGAATGTGACCTTCACAATTCAACTTCAAGATTTTGCTGGTTAAAAAATATAACCAGCTTTCCAAAAGTCAAAGCTTTTATAATACCTGCAGGAAAGTTTTCTACAGTTTATGCATAGTGGGAATGTAACTTACTGTGAATCAAAATTATTTCAGTTGCTTATAAAACTTTTCTTTTTTCCACAGGCACCACCACTTGAAATCAGTACAGATGATAGTAAACCAATAGTGCAACCAGAGAAAAAAGGAAAAAGCAGCTTGCTTCAAAAATTATTACTAGAATAATTTGATTGAGAATTTGTACATATGCTCATTAAACACTGCTGCCATTGAATTTAAACACTGGTTAACTGAAACTGTCAGTGTCTATATAATTAGTGAAGACGGTACATCTATTGATTGAAACCTACTGGTATACTTTGTTGTCATTTCTGACCATCCCTTAATAGATTGTGAGCGGTTTATAACATGATTTTAAAATATTTCAACATATTGAATTTTTGTTTTTTGTGAATTTCTAGTGCTATTGTACTTACAGAAAAAACCACCGTTGTAGACATAACTTTGATGTGTAAAGTCACAGTTGTTTGTTTTTTTCATAAAAAAAAATGAAAACTTCTAAAAGAAATATTGCTAAATTGATGGTAGTGATATTTTTGAGGTATTTATCTTGCCGAGCTTCACACAGTACCTTATTTTTTTTATTAGAAGTTTATCTCCAATAGAATAGAACATTGCATTTGTTATATAATGGATCATTAAAATATGACTTATTTTGACCGTAGACCCACCTCTGTCGTTTAGTTAAACACATGAACTTCCAATAAAGAAAATATGGTAGTGTGTCATTTACACCGTCTCGGTCAAACTGCATATACGGGTAAATAGCATGATTGTTTTAAATTGACTATGATAAAGAAAATATCTTTGCCAGTAGATGTGTTACAAGCTAACAATGCTAATGAGATGTGCTTGCATACTACATATGCTAATGAGATGTGCTTACATACTAAATATGCTAATGAGAAGTGCTTGCATACTAAATATGCTAATGTGATGTGCTTGCATACTAAATATGCTAATGAGAAGTGCTTGCATACTAAATATGCTAATATGATGTGCTTGCATACTACATATGCTAATGAGATGTGCTTAGATACT